CTGAAACATCTGCTCTCACTCTGGGGATGAGGCTAAGTACCTGCAGCACTTGTTAATCTAGAACATTTTAAATTAGGGCTATGCGTCTTTAAGTTTTAATAGTGAAACCTCTGTTTTTTTTGTCCTAAGAAGCAAGCAAGGGAAAGTATAAGCAAATTACAGAAGTAAAAGGCAGCAGTTATTCTATATTTCCTTAACATGTTGTAGATTTCAGACTATTTACAGAAGTTCTCTCTATCAGGATGACTTCAGAAGACCCCATCTCAAAAAAATAAATAAATAAAAAATAAAAAAGAGAGAGAGAGAGAAAGAAAAAAAAAAAGCACAAAGGTTGGGGATGTAGCTCAAAGCAAGACCTTGCAGCCTCCTCCACCATTCACCCTCGTTACCCTGATGTTCCGTCTACCACAGGCCTGAAAGCAATGGAGCCAGCTGACCATGGACTGAACTCTCTGAGGCTGTGAGCCAATATACATCTGTCTTCCTTAATAAGTTATTTCCACAAACAGCATGAGTTTTAAAAGGACATCATGAAAAGTCTAGAGAAATAGCACACTTTAAAGAAAATGGGCCCAATTTTATCAAGGTATAATTTACACATGTACATTTTAACTGTACACCTTAAAAGCTTATACCTACATATATCCAGATGCACAGTTACAATGGTAGATACCTTCGAAACCATGATCCCTGTCAAGAACAAAACATGTCACTCAAACCAAAAACATTGTATTACACTCTTTTTAGCTAATTTCCTCTCTTTACAGCTGCCCCAGGCAAGTACTGGTCTGCTTTCTTTCACTACAGAATATTTTTTCTTGTTCTAGAACTTCGAACCAGTGGAACTAGGTAGCACATGATCTCTTGTGTCTGGCTTCTTTCACTTGGCTTAGAGCTCATGAAATTTACCTGTATGGTTGCCTGATTCGTATTTTATCCCTTTGTTTTGCTGAATAGTATTCTGTTACATGAATGTGATAACACAAGTTGTTATCTGGGTTAGTTTCTATTCCTATGATACAATACCTTAGAAAAACAATCTAAAAAGGGAAAGATTTGTTTTGGCTCACAGTCTCAGAGGTTTCAGTCCATGGTCAGCTGGCTCCATTGCTTTTAGGCCTGTGGTGAGGCAGAAACATCATGGCTGGCTGCCAGAGAGTATGGTGGAGGAAGTGGCTCACCTCATGGCATCCATGAGATGAGGGGGGGGGGAAGAGAGA